GCTCGGGTCCTTGTCGTTGTCTCCGCTCTTCATGTTTGCAGCTCCGCCACCGCGACCGCCACGGCCTCCACGGCCTCGTCCTCTCCCTCCTCCTGCTCCTCTACCCTCTTGGCCTTGAGCAGGGGTCCAACCATCAGGGAGTTTGTAGCAGTCGCGCCACATGTGTCCGCTCTTGTGGCAATAGTGACACTCGCCGTCGAATCGGCCGCGACCGCGTCCGTAGCTCTTGTCGTCGCTGCCGTAACCGCCACTCCTGCGGCCTCCGCCGAAGTTGCTGCCACCAAACCTTCCTCCCCCTCGTCCTCTGCCTCTTCCTCGACCATATCCACGGCCGATGCTCGCTGCCCCAGCGCCATCCGCACTCGCCAACTCACGGCGGCGGAAATCCTCTTGAAGGATAGCTCGCTTCACGTCTTCAAGCGAGAGGCGGGGCAAGTCGCGATTAAGGTTGATGATGAGCGAGGACCATGACTCTGGGAGTAAGGCCAGCAACTTGGTCTTCTTTTGGAGCTCACTGTAGTTCAAATCAGCTCCCTCAAGCCGCGTCAACAAGTCGAAGAATTTCTGCACCCCTTCTTCAACCGCTTCGTCTTCTTCAATTCGTAGTGCCGCCATTTGCCGTTCCAACACCACCGCTACCGCCGCTGTTGCAGGAGCATGTACACCCTTGAGAGCAGCCCATGCCTTTGGTCCTTTCTCTGGTTCACGCTGGAATGGCTTGATGTGACGGATCTGACTGCTCCCCAACGCTTGCCCAAGTAAGAGATAGCCTTGTGCGCTCTTCCGCACCCACGGGCTCTTCTCCGGGTCGTTCTCGGGGCGCTTCTCCGTTCCTTCCATCACCTCCAGCAGGTCATAGTGGTCAAAGATGTTCTCCATCTTGAAGGACCATTCAGCAAAGTTGTCACCGTTGAACTTGTCAAGCCCAAACACCCTAGGCTCATCCCTAGGTGGGCCAAGACTTGGTTGCATGGGCGCCATGGCTGAATCACGGGGTTGGCCTTGAGCTTGAGCTTCTCCACTGCCACCAGCACCTCTGCCACCCCTTTCCTCAGGTCCAGACATTGTCGAAACTGCTCCAAGGGGCTCTGATACCACTTGTTATAGTCACAATAGGCTTGAATGTGCCTAAAACGAAAGATAGAGAGCACAGACGGATTTCTGCACAGCGGCTTCAAACGTTGATAGCGTTCTGCTCACAGCTGCAAATGACTTGATTCAAATTGGATCTGGAGCGTCTTCACGTCGTCTACAATTAGCAATTTAGATTGCACGATTTGATAAAGAATTGACGACACAGCGTCGGTTTGAACGAACGGTACTATGGCAGCCACTATAGTCTTAGAACACAAGATAGGAAGAGTTACGAGTTGGGAATGACTCCCAGCTCCTACAAACCCCAAGAGCCGAGGTACAGTGATGTGGAACAGTGCCACACTGTCCCCAACCACGAAGGGTCTCGAAACTACCCTTCACTAGGGCCTACACCAAGTGAAATGTTACACTACACAAAGTAATGTAACTATCTTCAATATCTTGAGGTGTACCCTTTTGGCAAGCTTCGAAATCACTTGAGGCTTGACACCAAGGCTCGGGCTCTTCATCACAAACTCATCCTTGAGTTCTTGATGGGTCTGCTGCACACACCTGCGACACGCCGAACGTTCGACACAGGACAAAATAGAAACCGCGCACGACAAAATAGAAACCGCGCGCGAGACACAAACGACCGCGTAACATGCGTCTAGCGATAACTCGCTATTGACTCGACACACACACTCGACATCATGACTCAACATTCACACACAATTATAAGCATGAAATATATATTATCCCATGCCCTCATACCATTCCATACACACACACATTCACGCACACGGACAACAAGCCGAGTGCAAACCGTAGGTTTGCACCAACAGCTCCTCGTCCAATGCCACTTCACCCTCATGTGCTTCGTGAGTCCATGCAACACAGGGTTCTTAGCAAGAGCAATGGCACCCTGGGTGTCACAGTACAGTGGGGTAGGTCCTTGCTGCTCCTCCCCCAATTCAGCCAACAAACGCCGCTGCCACACAATCTCCCGTACGGCACGGAAGAGTGCCATGTACTCGGACTCCACCGAGCTCAAAGCTTGGTCAACCTGCTTCTTGCTCTCCCAAGCAGTTGGGCCTCCACCAACACAGCATATGAAGCCTCCCACACTTGTCATGTCCTCTGGTTCTGATGCATATGAAGCATCCGAGTAGGCGGTGAGGAACAAACGCCCGGGTTCAACACCATCCGCGCCCTTTTGGCGCCTTTGTGCCGCCGCCGAGTATTGCAGCCCAACGGTCGGTGTTTGGCCAAGATACTTGGCCACCCTCATTCCAGCTGCTACCTGCTCCTCATTAGGGCATTGCACAACCCTAGCCAGCTGCCCGGTAGCAAACGCGACGTCCGGTCGGGTGTTTACCGCCGCATACATGAGGCTGCCCACCAACGAGTGAAATCGGCGCCTCTCCTCTTCACCAACGCTCTCCTCCTCTGGTCCCTTCACACACTTGAACCCAGAGGGAAAGGGTGTAGCCACATGGCCTTCACTCTGCCCAAAGTTGGCAGCCAATGCCTCCAGGTACTTTCGTTGATGCACCCGCATGCACCGCTTCTCCACATCTCGTTCGATGTGGAGCCCAAGGTAGAAGCTCACGTCACCAAGGGCCTTGCACTTGAACTTGTCTTGAAGCTTCAGCATCACCTCCTTCACAAGGTCAGAAGAGGGTGAGAAAATGAGGATGTCATCCACATAAACCACCATGAAACTCCTCTGCTCCCCCTCGCCAAGCATGAACAAGGAGTGATCGGCCGTTGAGGGAGTGAAGCCGATCCCCTCCAACACTTCGCGCAGCTTCATGTACCATTGCCTAGGGGCCTGCTTCAGCCCATAGAGGGCCTTCTTCAGCTTCCACACTCTGCCACTACCATCATCAAACCCCTCTGGCTGCGCCATAAAAATCTCCTCCTCAAGGATGCCGCTAAGGAATGCCGTTACGATGTCCATTTGCTTTACTACCCATCCTTTGATGGCGGCTCCCGCGAATAGGGTTCGCAGCGTCGTCGGCTTCACCACAGGGGCAAACAGCTCCTTGAAGTCCACCTTCTCCTTCTGCTGGTACCCCTTGGCTACAAGCCTAGACTTGTAGCGCTCGATCTTGCCGTCGGCATCCGACTTGATTTTGAAGAGCCACTTGGACGTTATCGCCGTACGCCCCTCCGGTAGCTCCACCAATTCAAACGTGTCATTCTCCTCGATGCTCTTCAGCTCACTCTCCATGGCCTTCTTCCACTCCTCAGCATCACTACTCTCCAAAGCCTCCTTGAGAGTTGCTGGTTCTCCCGGCATCTCCACCGGAGAGAAGAACGCGAAGGCACACTCCTCGTAGTCACTCTCCTCGTCGTCTCCGACCATCATTGCCGCTCCGGCCAGGGCTGTCTTGCCCTGCTTTCCCGGCGCATCATAGGTCAGCCTATTAGGGGGTTGAACTCTCCTCTTCCCCCTTCCTTCCTCCTCAGCTGCAGGGACTTGAAGGCCTTGGCGTTGCTGCGGTGTGGCTCGAATCCGTGGAGCACTCGTAGTAAGGGAAGGGAGTGACGGTGCACGCTCGCTCACTTGCTGCACCTCCTCCTCTTCTTCCTCTGCATCATTGGCCTCCTCTCCCCCATTCACAAGGGAGGATTGCCTTGTGGTTGTGCTGCCGCTGCTCAGCTCCAAAGGCAGCTCCACATGCTCCAAACCGGAACTCTTCACCTCCCCAAACCGCACGCCTATCTTCGCCTCATTCTCCGCCTTCCAATCCTTGTACATGAAGTTCTCCATGAACTTGCAGTCCCTGCTCACCAAGAACTTCTTGGTGAATGGGTCCCAAAGAAGCCATCCCTTGCTGTTTTGAGCCATGCCCAAGTGCACGGCCCACACCGCCTTGGCACCAAGCTTGTTGTGCCGAAGATGCTTAGGCACGAGCGTCATGCACATGCACCCGAACACCCGAAGCATATCCACCTTTGGCTTCCTTCCTAGCCACTCCACATAGGGCACCCATTTGTCTGCTCCCACATGAGTCAAGGCTCTGTTCTTGGCCACACACGCGCTCCGCACCGCATCAGGCCAGAAATAGTCGGGTAGCCCGGCTTCAATGAGCAACCCGCGTGCCGCCTCCGTGATTGTGCGGTTCGCTCGCTCGGCGATGCCGTTCATTGCAGGGGAGTATGGCATGGTGAGGGAGTGCCGAATACCATTCTTCTTCAGCCACAACCCAAACTCCTTGCTCAGGAACTCTCCCCCTCGATCGGTGCGGATTGACTTGACTAGACGGTCTTGTTGCCGCTCCACCATCGGGAACCAATCCGTCTTCAACGTTTCAGCCACGTCGCTCTTCTTGGCCAGCACGTACACCCATGTCATGCGGGTGTAGACGTCGACAATGGTGAGAAAATACTCAGCTCCAGCAGCTCCAAGCTTCAGGGGGCCCACCACGTCCATCACCACCTCATCAAGCGGTGCCTTTGCCGTTGCCTCCGAACTAGGGAACGGAAACCGGGTGAACTTGGCTTGAATGCACGTCGGGCAGCCAAGCACCTCATCGGGCTCCCCCTTCACACGTATGCCAGCAACCATCTCATTCTTCACTAGCTGCTGCAAGATGGGCAGGGCCACATGCCCCATGCGCCGATGCAAGGTGAGCCAATCACACTCCCCCGTAGCCGAAGTTGGATTGGAGAATGCCGCGCTCGCAATAGCGCCCCACATACTCTCTCCGTAGTCCTCCTCCGCTGCTGCCTCTGGGTTCTCCTCACCCTTTTGCTGCTCCTTGGTTGCTGCACCACTCTCCTTAGGTTCACTGAACTTGCTGGTCCCTCCAGGTTTGCTCTTCTTGAGCTCATTCTCCTTAGCGCGACCGTTCGCGCCATCGTCGCTACCGACCGCTCCATCCTTGGTGCTGATGCTTGCTGCCACTTGCCTCTCCTTAGGCATAGGGACCACTGGGATCTGCCACATCTCGTTGTAGACATCCCTGTCCTCATGAAGGTCCCAAAGAATTCGATCGCCAAGCCTTGCGGTGTAGGTCTTGGCTCCCTTCGAGTTCGTGTCCATGCCGGCCTTTGCCAACCGCCGCACGGAAATCAGGTTTGCAGCAAGGCTGGGCACCCAAAGCACGTTCTTGAGGCCCACCATCTTCCCATCAGCACCCTTGAACATGGCCTTGCCCATGCCTTTCACCTCTGCTCGCTGCCCCAAAGTCGATGTGACATGCTTCACCGGTGACGGCTCGAGTTCGGTGAGCAAGTCCGGGCGAGGTGTCATGCTATAGGTAGCGCCACTATCAATCACCCAATAGTCCAGGGGGTGTAGGGTCACCTTCCCCACAGCTGCTGGCTCCTCAAAGCCTTCATCCTTCTCTGGACCAGCCGGTACTTGCGTCGACACGAAGTAGAATAGACCCGGGTATCGATCGTCGCTCGGGTCCTTGTCGTTGTCTCCGCTCTTCATGTTTGCAGCTCCGCCACCGCGACCGCCACGGCCTCCACGGCCTCGTCCTCTCCCTCCTCCTGCTCCTCTACCCTCTTGGCCTTGAGCAGGGGTCCAACCATCAGGGAGTTTGTAGCAGTCGCGCCACATGTGTCCGCTCTTGTGGCAATAGTGACACTCGCCGTCGAATCGGCCGCGACCGCGTCCGTAGCTCTTGTCGTCGCTGCCGTAACCGCCACTCCTGCGGCCTCCGCCGAAGTTGCTGCCACCAAACCTTCCTCCCCCTCGTCCTCTGCCTCTTCCTCGACCATATCCACGGCCGATGCTCGCTGCCCCAGCGCCATCCGCACTCGCCAACTCACGGCGGCGGAAATCCTCTTGAAGGATAGCTCGCTTCACGTCTTCAAGCGAGAGGCGGGGCAAGTCGCGATTAAGGTTGATGATGAGCGAGGACCATGACTCTGGGAGTAAGGCCAGCAACTTGGTCTTCTTTTGGAGCTCACTGTAGTTCAAATCAGCTCCCTCAAGCCGCGTCAACAAGTCGAAGAATTTCTGCACCCCTTCTTCAACCGCTTCGTCTTCTTCAATTCGTAGTGCCGCCATTTGCCGTTCCAACACCACCGCTACCGCCGCTGTTGCAGGAGCATGTACACCCTTGAGAGCAGCCCATGCCTTTGGTCCTTTCTCTGGTTCACGCTGGAATGGCTTGATGTGACGGATCTGACTGCTCCCCAACGCTTGCCCAAGTAAGAGATAGCCTTGTGCGCTCTTCCGCACCCACGGGCTCTTCTCCGGGTCGTTCTGGGGGCGCTTCTCCGTTCCTTCCATCACCTCCAGCAGGTCATAGTGGTCAAAGATGTTCTCCATCTTGAAGGACCATTCAGCAAAGTTGTCACCGTTGAACTTGTCAAGCCCAAACACCCTAGGCTCATCCCTAGGTGGGCCAAGACTTGGTTGCATGGGCGCCATGGCTGAATCACGGGGTTGGCCTTGAGCTTGAGCTTCTCCACTGCCACCAGCACCTCTGCCACCCCTTTCCTCAGGTCCAGACATTGTCGAAACTGCTCCAAGGGGCTCTGATACCACTTGTTATAGTCACAATAGGCTTGAATGTGCCTAAAACGAAACATAGAGAGCACAGACGGATTTCTGCACAGCGGCTTCAAACGTTGATAGCGTTTTGCTCACAGCTGCAAATGACTTGATTCAAATTGGATCTGGAGCGTCTTCACGTCGTCTACAATTAGCAATTTAGATTGCACGATTTGATAAAGAATTGACGACACAGCGTCGGTTTGAACGAACGGTACTATGGCAGCCACTATAGTCTTAGAACACAAGATAGGAAGAGTTACGAGTTGGGAATGACTCCCAGCTCCTACAAACCCCAAGAGCCGAGGTACAGTGATGTGGAACAGTGCCACACTGTCCCCAACCACGAAGGGTCTCGAAACTACCCTTCACTAGGGCCTACACCAAGTGAAATGTTACACTACACAAAGTAATGTAACTATCTTCAATATCTTGAGGTGTACCCTTTTGGCAAGCTTCGAAATCACTTGAGGCTTGACACCAAGGCTCGGGCTCTTCATCACAAACTCATCCTTGAGTTCTTGATGGGTCTGCTGCACACACCTGCGACACGCCGAACGTTCGACACAGGACAAAATAGAAACCGCGCACGACAAAATAGAAACCGCGCGCGAGACACAAACGACCGCGTAACATGCGTCTAGCGATAACTCGCTATTGACTCGACACACACACTCGACATCATGACTCAACATTCACACACAATTATAAGCATGAAATATATATTATCCCATGCCCTCATACCATTCCATACACACACACATTCACGCACACGGACAACAAGCCGAGTGCAAACCGTAGGGTTGCACCAACACGAACGAGGTCGACAGCAGTAGCAGAGGCAACAAAGGGCAAGAGGGGGACAGGGGAGCACCCCTCAAAGAAAGGGGCACGAGGGTCACCACGAGAGGCTCCTACAGCGACTATACTCTTCTCAGCTGCAAGGAGGCGCTCCTCGAGGAGGTCAACAGTGAGCGTGGTGGGGCAAAGGGAGAGGAAGTGGTCCCTGACTGGACGAAGGGAGTCAGGGAGCCGGGTGACGAGGTAGTAGAGGGTGATGTACATAGGGGGGGGGGGGTTCTTGGCGCAGAACTCGGCAGGAAGCGCAGCGCGGTAGCGGGCGTCACTGGTGCGGAGGTGGGTAATGAGGTCAGCGACTGTGGCAAAAGCGGCGAGGTCAGGGAACAGGTACGGCAGCATGAGGTGGCTGAGAGCAGCAGTGGCAGAGGAGGAGTAGCGCGCAACAACATCGTCATACAGAGTCTTAGCAGTCTTGTACTAGCTTAAGTGCGCACGCTCAGCAGACGGCAGGTAACTACGAACAGCAAGACGAGCAGCAGCATGACGCGTTGTCCACTGCGAGCGAACTGCACTGTCAGCATCGGCTGCAGGTGCGACAGAGATGCCGGACGTGTGATCCAACAGTGAGACTCCATCCCTAGAGTTGCACTGCAGAAAAAGCTGCAGATCATCGACCCGGACCTCGAAATCGACTGCTCGACCCTCAGCATCGAAGGTAAGTACATTAGGGTTAGCCATGGCGGCAGTGGTAGTAGCAGTAGCAGTAGCAGCAGTAGTAGCAGTAGCAGCAGAAGCAGTGCGGCTCAGTAGGGCAGGGCAGCGCGGCTTGGCAGAGCGGTGCGGCTCAGCAGAGCAGCGCGGGTCGGCTCGGCTAGGCGGCTCGGCTCGGCTGCGCGGCTCGGCTCAGCTGGGCGGCGCGGCTCGTCTGCGCGCTTGTCGGGCAGGAGCGCGGGCAGCGTAGCTAGGGGAGGTGCTCACTAGAGGCGGGTAGGGCAGGCGCCTGTCGAGCGGGCAGGGCAGGGCCGGGATGGCGGCTGTAGGCAGGGCCGCAACTGCGGCTGGAGGCAGGGCCGCGACTGTGGCTGTAGGCAGGGCCGCGACTGCGGCTGTAGGAAGGGCCGCAACTGCGGCTGGAGGCAGGGCCGCGAGTGCGGCTGCAGGAAGGGCCGCGGCAGCGGCAGGCAGGGCTGCGAGTGCGACAGGACAGGGCCACGATGGCGGCAGGCAGGGCCGCGACTGCGGCAGGGTGGGGCTGTGAGGGCGGCAGGCAGGGCCGCGACGGCGGCTGCAGGCAGGTTCGTGATAGCGGGACGACAGGGCCGCGACGACGGGAGGCAGGGCCGCGACGGCGGCTGCAAGGCAGGGCCGCGACAGCGGCAAAGCAGGGCCGCGATAGCGGCAGGGCAGGGCCGCGACGGCTTCAGGCAGGGCCGCGACGGCAGGGTAGGCTCACGGGGCGCAGGTGAGGCAGGCACGAGGCGCGCGACAGGGCAGGCAGGCACGGGAGCGCGCTTCGGGCAGGGCAGGATTTTTTTTTTTGTGGTGGGCCCTAAAAAACCGGTCCCACTAGGGAACCTGCTCTATACCATGTGACAATAGTATGAGTCAAGGAAATGGACTAGGAAACAGGAGGGTACAAGTAGTGAACCTAAAAGTGTTGTACCCCATATTGTCTACCCCACTAAAGCATATACAGACTATAGCATATAAGTTTGACAATCCCCCCATACCGAAAAAAATTGTTACTGTAGGTTTCCAAGCCTTTTCTGGCTCAAACCCAGATTCGTTAAGGCATATTTTTCCGCTTGATCGTGAATCACAGGGTCTTTCTCACTGGGGTTCGGATCGTCTGAACTAGCAGAAGTCATAGCATTTGAAGAAAACGGTGGTGGGGCAATTTGATATGCCCCCAACCCACCGAATGTGTTTCGGTGCTCACCGTTTGAGTGAGCTGCAGGTTTCACGAAGTGCGTGGGCTGACTTTGGAAGACCAACTCGAATGGTGCAACGTGGAAACACAAGAATCAAGACTCAGGGAGAATTCGATTCGGTGAAATTCGAGAGTCGAATTTCACCCCTTCGAAATGTTACTCGAACATTCGCGAGTGTACCACGGTTCGAGGTTACATGTGCGATTCGACGTTTTGCAGTTCATATAAATGTGTTTGCTTTGTATTGCATGGATCATAGTGAAAACTATGTGAAGAAATGAGGAATGAATGAACTAGCAAACAGGTGGGTACAAGTAGGAAAACCTAAAAGTGTTGTACCCCATATTGTCTACCCCACTACAGCCTACACAGACTATAGCATATGAGTTTGACACACCCCCATAGGCAAAGTGGGGGAGAACAAGAGGTCACAAGACCAGTCAAGCAAAGCAAAGCAAGCTCAGGGTGGATCACAACGTCACCACACATTCCGAGCACAAGTTCAAGGCCACAAGGCCAGTTCACATGCAAGATCATATATAAAAGTAAACAAGCAAGTGCAGGTATAGAAAGATCACAGTACAAGCAAGGTCAAGAAGTGAGCAAGTGAGGCCAAGTAGGCACAAGACCTAGCATCGTACAGAAGCGCTGATGATCACAAGGCGGAAGTGCCTTGGTAAAGATATCAGCAGTATTGGCCTCAGAGGCCACGTAAGCAAGGCGCAGCTGACCACGCTGCTGCAGCTCACGAGCAAGGAAGTAGCGAAGAGCAATGTGCTTCGTTCTGTGCTCCAATCTGTGCTCCTGACACAAGGCCAGCATGGCCTTGTTGTCTACGTACAGAACTGGAGGAGAACGAGGCGGCTCTCCTAGGTCAGTCAGCAGGTAGGTGAGCCAGCGTAGCTCCTGTGCAGCCATGGCCCCCGCGTAGATCTCAGCCTCACAGCTGGAGCCGAGAATAGAAGACGAGCGGGTAGACCGCCACGAAACAGAGCCGGAACCAAGGCTGAAGGTGTAACCCTGTGACGACCGCTGCGTAGCCTGGTCGTCAGCCCAAGAAGCGTCTGCGTGACCTGTGAGGACCACTGAACGCCCTCCAAGCACTAGCCCCATGCCCGACGTACTGCACAAGTAGCGCAACACCCTCTTCGCTGCAGCCATGTGCTCTGGTCGGTGTCTCCCAGGAGCAACATAGCGTGCCAAGATGCTAAGAGGGTATGCAAGGTCAGATCGTGTGCAGGTCATCAGGTACATGAGGCAGCCAACAAGCTCTGGGTACGGGCCACTCGGCTCTACGGACTCATCCGAAGGCAGAGCTGAGAGCGAGTGGCGAGTAGACAGAGGAGTGGCCTGAGGCGAGGAGTACGTGAAGTCGAAGCGCTGAAGGACCTACTGCACCATGTGTGACTGAGTTAGGGTAATGGTGCGCTGTGCTCTGTCCTGGGTGATCTGCAAGCCAAGGTAGCTGCGCAGTTCACCCAGGTCTGTGCACGTGTGTCTCTTCTGCAGCTCGAACTTCACGTGGGCGAGTCCAGCAGTGTCAGCAGTGGCAAAGACCAAATCGTCGACGTACACGAGGATGTAGAACGGCGGCAAAGAGGTGTCGGTGCGCAAAAAACAGCGACGGGTCGGCAGTAGAAGGAGCAAACCCAAGAGCCGCAAGTGTAGTCCTAAATGTGTCGTGCCACTCACGGGGCGCCTGGCGGAGACCGTAGACTGGCCGCCGGAGGCTCCACTGGGTACCAGGGGGAAACGACCCAGTGAAGCCAGGTGGGCGGCGCAGCCAGATCTCCTCGTGCAGGCTGCCCTGTAGGAAAGCAGTGCTGAAGTCAAGAGAGTGAAGCTCGTAGTCGCGCTGAGTGGCTATGTGCAGCAGCACCCGAAGAGTGGTCATCTTCGGGGTGGGAGAGAAGGTCTGAAAGTAGTCAACTCCCTGCCGCTGACTGAAGCCTCGTGCCACGTAACGCGCCTTGAAGACAGGCGGAGAACCCGGCGGCCGCTTCACCCTGAAAATCCACATGCCACTGACGATGTTCGACCCAGGTGGGGGAACCTCGTCGACGTAGGTGCCTGTGGACTTCCAGGAAGCCATCTCTGCGTCCATGGCTGACTGCCACTGAGAGGAGTAGGGACCCTCGATCGCCTCAGCGTACGATCGAGGAGTCGGGATGTCTGGTGCATCCGGGTCTCCCTCAGGGGCAATCAGCGTGGACACGAGATGAGGCAAAG